TTATCTATATACAATTAGAAAATCAGTTAGAATTAAATAAAAGAAAGAAAAATTTTTGAAAAAATTCCTTGAGAGAATATATGAGTTTGTAATGTCAAAAGACAAGGAAATTATAAACTCCATATATAATGTTATAATGCCTACATAGGAATATAGGAAAATGATAACATCATGCAATACAGCAACCATTGTTGAATTCCTATTATTTTGTTTAGTGAAATTTTGTATTGTTTTTAATGCTTTTTTTTTTTTTTACTATTTTGTATTCTTTAAAAAGAAAAAGAAAAGAAAATATAGGAAATGCAGTTGGTAGTATCAGCACTAAGTGAAATAACATATTTTTGCATGTAAACAAAACCAGAAACATGCAAAATACATATATAGACAGTAGGGATAATCTTTTCAATTTTGAATATTTATAGCATTATAACATCATCTTTACAAAGTCATGTATAAGTAGGCATAAGTATGAAAGCAGGATCAGAAAAAGGAAGTCAAAACAGCTTAAATAGTACACTGAGTCTAAGTAACATTAATATAACATTTTAATTAAAAAGAAAATGTGATTCATCAAAAATATTCATCTTTCCTATAAACACAGCCAAAGTTGCGTTTAAAATTCAGAGATTGCTGTGTTAACATAAGTATGTAAGCTGGATAAAGCGCCTCCTGCCTTCTTTGCCAGTGAGCTTACATGAAATGACTTCCTGGTTGCATATTAGCGGCACTTCCTAAACCGCTGCCAGTACTGTAGGCCAGGTGCTGTGTGCCTGGGATGCCAGAACCAAGAGTCTGTGCCCTCAGGCTGACTCAGGCAGGGAGTAGTAGGAGGGTAAGTCTGTAGAGCCCTTCAGAACAAGGCCACAGAAATCAGGATGGGCGTATGTGTCCAAGGCTCTGTGGAACAAGAGAAAAGGCATTCTTCACCTTCCATCCCTTAGGAAGGCACGTATGACCCTCATCTTGAAGGTCCTATGGGAGTTGGCCAGGAAGGGGACTAGGATTGCAACCTCACAAGTGCTAAGAAGTGTTAGCAGGGAGTCATTCAGTGTTTCAGCCAGGTGTTAGTGTTGAGCTTTATTACTTTAGCCATAGGGACAATGCAGAAGGGTACAAGAATGGAGGCAAGGGACAACAGCAGTAAACATACACAGCTCCGTCAACAGATGGGAACTGAACTGCATCAGTCATGGGATGGGCTCCCAAAACCCTAGAGACGTGGACTGTGACTTCTGAGGTTCTTGTCCTCTACTGCCGATGAACAAAAGAATGCTGTTGCCGTATCCTCTATCCGCACGGGCAAGCTCAGCCTAATGCACACCCACGCACGATGCTGTGTAATTTTATTTCCCACAGCACACAAGCGCCATTATTTCAATGTTCTCTTGGCTCTTTTAGGGCGGTTTAAATTTAAAAACATTAAGATGATAAGATAATACTAGAATTCAGAAAGGTGAGGCTTTTTTCCTCTAAAATTCCTTCCCCTTCCTATAAGGCCTCATCTTCTTCATCCTCCCTTATGTTATTGTTGTAGGGATCTTTAAGTTACTAAGGAGGCACATTGTAAAACTAGTATGCTTGATATGATTCCTTAAATTTTTATGATACAGAATACTAAAAATTATATTTTTTAGGGTGCATTCAAGCCTATGGACCTTAATCATGTCATCAAACTCCTTGAAGAAAGTGATAAAGTGAGTAAGCATTGAGAATTAATCTGCTACATACTTCCAAACTTTTATTTCTCTGAATGGTAACATACTTACAGCCAAGTGTAAGTCTCATTTATCTCTTTTTGTGGAAAACATTTCAAACAGTGCTTTGTAAAATTTGTTGTTGTTGTTGTTGTTCTGCTGGAGTTTACCACCAGGGCCTCCTACAAGCACTTCACTACTGAGCTACAGCTGTAACCCTTTTTAAAATTTTGAGGCAGGGTCTCACTGGTTTCAGATTTATGAGCCTCCTCATTCAGCTGCCCAAGTAGCTTGAATTTACACATTTGTGCCATCCTGCCTTGTCTTAAAATAGTACATATCGTAAATTCAGGAATTGTTTAAATTTAACATGAATATATTTAACCAGATAGGGAGGCCAAAGAGGAGTTGCTTTTATGGGTGGACAAATCCATGATGGCTGTACATAGAAGGATTCCTAAGAATACACAAAAGGTCACTTAACCTCTGTCAACTGCTTGCCATCAACTAGGACTGGAGGAGAGAGGTGGTGCAGAAGAGGTTTCACAATTTTCTAATACAAATTCCTTATAAAATCAGGGCATATATACAGTCACACGTATGTGTAGAAAATTTATTTTGAGAGAATTCTTTATAGACTGTAATGGAATTAAAATTGTTTCAGACACAAGCTCAGAACTGGCAAGTTAGGTTTCAAGAAAAAAAAAAAGTAAACATATGTTCATCCTTGTTCACTCACCACGCTCTTCGGCGGCCCAAGCATTGACTAAATGCCTAAAAGTCAGTACAGACTCCAAAGACATGTACAGCCTTTTCCAAAACAGATTTTACAGTCTTAATAAACACAAAATGGCTTAACTAGACTATAGCCATGGAAATAAAACAGTGTCCAGTAAGTTGTAAGAACAAAATTTAGTCATTTTTTTCCTTTTGTCTCTACTTTCTTAAATAGAAGAAAAATACACATAATTACCAAGATTAATTTATTTTTTGGCTGAGTATTTTATGAAAATTGATTTTTTTTTTTTTGTATTTTAGGGAAGGGTCTACAGAGTGTTCAGGGTCTCACTACTAGATCAGATTCGTAGTGATGCGCCTGTTTACAGCCTCCCAAGAGCTGGGATTACAGGCACATACCACCACCCCCAGTCTCAACTGTTGTCTCAGCATGCCCCAGGAGCAGGGCCAGTATAGCAGGCCCAGGGATTGAACTCCCAGGTCCCTGTGCCTGCTTGTAGGTGCTTTAACCCACTGAGCTATTTGGCCGGCCCTTTTTTTTGTTTGTTTTGTTTTTAATTAACCATGGATGCTTGTTTTTCACATATTCTTGGGCATATTTTAAAGGTTAAAAATATAAGTTTACCAAAACTGAATCCTTATATCCCCACTTTTTAGCGTTGTGCATTTAGACAAAGTGTTTTTGGTGAGCTGCCTATTGAAAAGACAGATAATAATATCCTGGTAATAGAGTCATTCTGAAGACTAGTCTCCATGTGGTGCATGGCATAGAAGAAATGTACAGCACATTTCAACTATTGCTAATGGTATTTCTGGAGAGAGTTACTGCTTTTCTATTAACCTGATTAAAATTTTTAATTTGCTCCCAGCAACTTGGGAGGCTGAGGCTGGAGGCTCATTGCCCGTTTGAGACCATCCTGGGTTACAAAATGAGGTCTAGGCCAGCCTGACCTGCACAGCCAGACCCTGTCTCAACATGACAATCAATCAACCAATCAATTTTAATTTCCTAGTTGAAGTTGAATGGTGGTGGTGGTTGAACTTCACTATTTCAGGAAACATTTTATAATGCTTATAGTAATGTAAGAATAACTTGATAAATTTAATGTTTCTACTTCCTTTTTGTATTGAAGAAAATTTTTAAACTTTCAGCAAATTTTATACATCAAAAGAACTAAATAGAACATTTATTTTAGGGTGATTTAGAAGAAAAACAACTTAAATCTGTCAAGAAACTGGTGCAGTGCTATCAGAATGGATTTGTATCCTTTATATATACATGAATATTTGTTTCACTTATCTTGGAATGGGAGAATTTCTGTTCTAAATGTTTTAGTTTCCTACTGCTGTTTAGTAACCAATCACATACTTAGTGGCTAGAAAGAGTATACATTTGTTATCTTGCAGTTCTGGAGGTCAGAGGTCTGGAATCAGTCTCACTGGGCTAACATCAGGAAACTGGCAGGGCTGGGTCCCTCTGCAGACTCTGGGGAATCTGTGTCCTTGCTGTCGTCCCCTCCACCTCCTGCACAGATCTGATCTGCTCTGCTCCAGCCTTTGCCTCTCAGGACTTCACTCACCTCTGCTTTCATCCTGGCATCCTCCTCTGTTCCCTGACCCTCTGCTTCTCCCTCCTTTTCCCCTTATAAGGAGCCTGGTGATTACACTGGGTTTACCTGGAACTCTAATATGGCATTCCCACCTCAAGATCCTTAATTTAACTACATCAGAAAAGGTCCTATGCCATCTAAGATGACATATTCACAGGCTTCTGAGATTAGGGCATCTTTGGAAAAACCATTATTCTGTTCACTGTACTGTTATTATCTGTGATAATATTCAGAAAAATGGATGCAATTAAGAGGGACAAGTTAAAAAAAATCTTGTTTTTGACAGTCTACGTGGGCAAGTGTACTTCTGATAAACTTCATCACTTCCCTACAGTTAAATGAGATAATGTCCGTGCAAGTGCTTGATAATCTTAAAACACTATGTATTTTTTTTGTTCTGACTGAATATACCACCCTGATCAGAATGTGAAATGAGTGTGTGTCCAAACTTTAAAACTATATATAAGAACCAGTTTGTTGATGTGTGATTTTTAAACATTTACATATGTATACTGCTATAATATACAAGTGTCACAGCAACATTAGATTGGTGAAAAAGTTTTTGTAAGTCCACCATCATTTTCTATATTCATCTTGTTACGAACTAAGAACATACTGTTCCAGAACAGGCAGTAGTAACAGACTCCATTTGATAAATTGACCCAAACTATCGCTGACAGTTATCTGATCTTCTCTCAAGAAACTATCAGCCTAATATTAACTTGTCCCAATGCAGAGCATCTTAAACCATTTCCATTCAGAGAAATGTGCCTTGTAATTTATAAAATATATTTATTTTAGCTTTGGTGTTGTATGGATCTTTTAGATCCCTATGGATAGTAAGCACTGTTTGGCAGAAGCCAAGAACATCCACTAGCAAGTCAGTGTTCCTATGTTAAGCTAACACCTCAGCACTGCCATGATTTTGCTTCAGGTTTGTCCCTTGGAGGAAGATGGATCTATTTCTGAATGCCTTTTAATAGTCTGGCTTTAGAAGCTGTAAAACACTATAAATTAAGTTAGAGTAGTATCTTGGTCACCTGTCTAGGAAATTAATAGAGCTGCATACTTCAAGTGCACTAGCCTCTCTAGATCTTCAGGTAAAAGCAGTTTTTCTTTTAACTGTTCAAATATCCTTTTGGTACACAATCCAATTTAACTGATCATTTTTACAGCTAAGAGCTCCTGGCAGTTACAACTTCCAGTTTTTGGTTGAATCCTCTTATTTCTACCTTCTTTCCAGGAGTTTCTTAGGAAGAAATGGATGAGCTCAGTACATTATCAATGAGTAACTAGCTTTCTACACTAGTTTTAAATAAAATAAAATCCCAATCATTGTAAATCCTGGCTGTTAAGAACAGGAGTTAAATATTAATAAAGAAATGCAATAATCTAGTAGTGGCGGTACGTATCTGTAATCCCAGTGCTCGGAAGGCTGAGGCAGGAGGATCACTATGAGTTTGAGGCCAACCTGCGCTACATAGCGAGACCTTGTCTCAAAAAAAAAAAAAAAAAAAATACAATGAAAAAAAGTTTGGACTGCTTGTTCCAGGGCAGTACTGTATATGTTTGTGCAGATGAGAATGAAGGACATTATTGAGCCAATCATTAAGGTCATCTAGTGTGTTTTTACTCATAGTAGTAAGTTATTGATCAACTGAATACATAGTGTAGTAGTTGGCAATCCAATTCTAAAGTTGTGAGAGGGAAAAATTTCAGTAAGATTTTGGAGACAAAGCTATGTATTGCTAAAAATATAGTTCTAAGTTTTCCATTCTAGATTTCAAAATAAGAATAGTTAAAACTACTTTTAACAAAGTAGATGAAGAGAATGATAATGTTAAAGTTAAAAATATTTCTTAACTAAAAATACTAAAGCCATTAAGGGATTTAGCACAAATATTTAAAATTCTGAATCTGTGTGCAGGAAAAATTAAAAACCAGCACCAGTTTGTAGAATCTGTATGTGATATCTTAAAATTGTGTAGGTAAGTGTTTCTATATTTTGTATTAATTAACATGTAGGATTTTATCATGTCTTACTTTGTATTACAAAATATTAAGCATTCTGGTATAGTAGAGTAATACAGACCTCAGAAAATTTCAGTTTGTGATTGAAGCAGTTAGCAAATATAATAATTTTATTAAGTAGTTTAAGAGTGTTAGACACAAGAATTTAAACAGTATATAGATAAAATATTTTCTTGAAATTGGTTGCTTTCAGAAGCAACCACCTTTACAAAATTTGGTTCTCAAAAATGTATTGGGGACCACAGATATAACTCAGTGGTACAGCACCTAGCAAGCTCCAGGTCCTGAGTTCCACTCTCAGTGCCCTCCCCCAAAAATTAGATGCCATGTGATACTTACTTGATTTCCCAGTTTTGAATGACGATATCACTATTTACGTTTGATACATATTTTAAAATATAGACTTAAGCATATAATATAAAGCAACTATGTTAAAATATAAAGTAGAGAAATATAAAGAATTCCAATATTAATGTGTCTTATCCCTTTCCGCACTAATTTCTACAATCACTCTAGAAACTGAATTGCATATAATGCTTCTTTGCTGCCACACAGTGGCTGACCTAGATATGACCTAGATATGATATCTGAAATGTCACCATTTTTAATTGTGAAGTCTGAATAAAGCACTTAAAAATAATCTATTGAATGCCTACTACCTGACACCTTGCTTTTTTAAAAAATATTTTTATTGAGAAACAAATAGCAATGAGACAGTTTCACAACCAATTACTAGCACATTTTCAAAAATTAATACATTGCATATTGTTGTCTTAGTGGTTATTCATTGTACAAGATGCAGACCTGATATCCTGTCTCAAATACTATTAGAACAAACCTCTGTATTCGTTGAATTAAGATAATGTAGCTGTATATCTATCCTATTTTGAGAATACAGATACAAAATGGTTGTTCATTTGTATCCCCCTTTTTTGGTTAGTTTTGTCAGAGAAGGGCATTCCATTGGCATTTAAATACTGTTGCTTTTGAACAAAGAAAATAAAATAATGGATCCCATGCTTTCAATGAATTAATTGGAAATCTTTACCAACAAGAGATTATATTTCGTACAACACTTTCAGATTTCAAGGCCATGCAAGTCCCAGAAGAGCAAGCTCCTAAGCTCTCTTGTTGACATCAGTGCTCCTGTAGATCTCTGCCCTAGCCATTGCTCTAAAACCTGGGCTAAATGTTTTGTTACAGAATATGACATCTTTTCAACTGCACTCTTCAGGCTTCCTGGTTTTGTAATTATTTTACAAAATTTTACTAATTTCTGCTTGGGATCAGTGTTTCTCTACACGTCTTCCTTACTTGGTTCTCTTTTCAAAACATTTTGGGAGGTAAAAATTTGAAAAAAAAATTTGAAGTCGTCAGGCATGGTGGCACACACCTGTAATTCCAGCCCTGGCAAAGCTGAAGCAGGGTGATCCATGAGTGTAGCACCAGCCTGGGCTACAGACTGGGCTCAAGGGCAGCCTGAACTACCTAGTGAGACTTTTATCTCCAAAAGCTGAAAGAAAGAAAAAAAAAAAAAAAAAAAAAAAAAAAAAAGGAAATCAAGCCTTTCTGTTTCTGGTATGTTTTCCTAGTAACTCCGAAAGTATGTTTATTTTTTTCATAACATATTTGGTTGAACATACTTCTGATACCTTACCTGATACAAAAAGTTTGGGGACGAGAAGTAAAAATTTTAGAGTTGTTTTAGAGAGCTAACAATCAGTTGGCTAACAAGTGATTATTCATTCCAAATGACAATTCCAACAAATTATAGAAATGAACTTCTATGAAATTTATAAAATCTACCTTTCTACAACTTGCCATATCTTTAAAATCAAAGTGACATATATTCTATGTAGTCTACATCCACATATGATAGATCTTGCCACCTTTCAAAAATTGGTTATATTTTTTTAAAACATGAATTAAAAATCCTATATATAGGACATGTGAATTTTGGATTTATGAAATGTCAAAATAGTTTATATTTTGTATTTAAGACATAACTTTTATCTATCCTTCAAAATTTAAACTAATGGCTCAAGTTATGTGCTTGACCTTTTATGATTTTTAAGTAAGCTACTTTCATATAACTTTGGTTATAGTAGCTGTTAGATGCAAATCTAAAAAATTAATGCCTGTTAACTTAATTCTTTATTGTACCCTGAACATTCTTTGTTAATAGTAGTAATCCATTGAATAAGGTAAAGGGTCCTGGCCCTAAAAATAAATAGACAATTGATGTATTAGAGCTTCAGAAATTTCAGGAAGAGCCCATAAATTCTACTTATAGGTGAGCCTACGCCTGTGGCTTATGTCAGACTATCTAATGTCTTCTTGACTTTGATAGAATTACAGTCATTATTCATTATTACTTTGCCTTCAAATGGAAAGACAGTTAAGGTTTTTATTCACACAGTCATGCAAAATTACTTTCTTAGTTCATGCTTTTATATTGTATTCTCTTCATGGAAAAAAAAAAAAACCTTTATTTTCTTTCTGGTAGTTAAGTAAAAATGCAACTATTTCATAGGCATGAATACCCCAGAATTAAAGGATAAAATATTATCTTAATTTTTTGTTTAGAAAGAAAAATTCCCCCACTTTAAAAATGATGCTTTAATACAAAATTTCATTTACAATTCTCTATTCTTATTGAAGCTTGCCATTTTTGAAAAAAAAAGTATTGGATGAAGTAACTTATGCTGAAGATACTGCTAATTCAATTGCATTTCTGGGTAAGTTAAGCTTTCTTCAAGGTCGAAGGTGTAACATATGACAGGCACTATTGAGCAAAAGGAAATGTTTGGTTTCACTGAGTTTGACTGAAAGTATCCACTGTCCATATCTTGGCTTTTCTCAAATTTATTTTGTAGTTGGAAATTAATTACAGTGTACTTTTATAATAATTCTGGTATTATTTTCTATGCAGGTATTTCATGATATCAACAAGATTCTATGTTCCTTAAATACAAAAATGAGAACATTATTCCTTGTTCTTATTTGACTTGATATTGTTTAGATAACAAAATATTCATGAACTTTTTCATTTTAAAAAGAAAAAACAATAATATAAAATTTCAAAACAAGATAGTAGGCGATAACAATGGTTAGTATATTGCTTATTGTTATCTTCAAAGTAGTTGCTCAGATTACAAGATATAGGCATGAAAACTGATCAAATTATATAAGCAAAAACTTTCAGTGAATAGAAATTGGTAATATAGCTATCTTAACTATCACATATATGTATTTACTTTCCCCTTTATTCTTTTCTCTTCTCCCTCATCCAAGTTTCCTTTTAAGCAGTTTCTTCTGATTTCCGGTATCTATTGTACACTTTGGGGCTTATTTACTTTCTTTAATATCAGGAGACAAGCTCAAGATCTATTGCTTACCAGGCAGGCTGCTGTGCTGCTGAGCTACATCCCTAGTTCCCTTATTTACTCTTTCAGCTTCTTACATGAGGGAGACAATACAGTGTTTATACATGGGAGACTAATCTATTTCACTTATGAGTATGGTCTTATGTTGCATCCATTTATCCTCAAAAGCCTCAAATATATCCTTTTATAGCTGAATAGTATTCCATTATATAAAAATGCCACATCTTTTTATCCATTCCTCAGTTGATGGGCATTTGAGTTATTTTCAATATTTAGCAATTGTGCTGCTATAAACATGGTATATCACTGTGGTATGATGTTTTTCACTCTTCCAGAAAAATACTCAGAAGGGGAAAGACTGGGACCTCCAATCCTATTTTTTTGAGGAATCTGCATGCAGATTTCCACAGTGGTTTCACCAATCTATACTCCCACCAACATTAGAGAAAGGTTTCTTTTTCCTCACAGCCCCTCCAGCATTTGTCACTGGTTGAATTTTTGGAAGTAGCCATTTTTTTCTGCGGGACATAGAATCTCAGTGTTGTTTTAATTTGCATCTCAGGGATGACCAAATTAAAAATGTTGAACATTTTTTATATGTTTATTTGCTGTCTGTATTTCTTCATCTGGGAAATGCACATTCATCTCAGATGCCCATTTTTCAGTTGGGTCTTTAAATTTGGAGGGATCTGATTTTTTTCAATTCTTTGTATGCTCTAGATAAAACTTCTTTGTCTAAAGTTCTGTTGGCTAAAATTTTTTTCCCAATTCATGAGTTCTTTTTTCAATATTTCATTTCTTTTGATGTGTAAAAGCTTTTTAATGAGATTGCAGTGGTCAATTCTTTGGAGTATTTCTCATACAGTTTAGGCTTTATTCATGAACTCACTGCCCACCCTGATGTCCTCAAGATTTCTATCTGCTTTCTCTTGAATAGATTTAGTGTTTCTGTTTTAATATTTAGATCTTTGATCTATTTTGATTTTAGTTTAGTGCATGGTGATAGACATCAGTCTAGTTTTAATCTTCTACATTTAGACAGCCAGGGGTTTTTTATAGCATCATTTACTAGAGAGACTATCTTACTTTCAGTGAACAAATTCAGGTCCTTTGTCAAAGACAAGGTAGATGAATGTACTTGTGGTTGTCTCTGCATGTTCTGTTCTGTTCCACTGATTCTCAGATCTGTTTTTCTGCCAATACAATCTGATTTTATCAGCAGCTGTATAATATAATTTCAAGTGGGGATTGTGAGACTTCCTGCCTTGTCTTTGTTGCTCAGGACTGCTTTTGCTATTTTAGGTTTCTTCTGGTTCCAGATGAATTTTAGGAATATTTTCTCTGGATCTATGAGGTATACTATTGGTGTTTTAATTGGAATGTCATTGAATCTGTGTAACATTTCACAAAGTTGGTTCTTCCTATCAATGAACAAGAAATAACTCTCCATGTTCTGATATCTTCAAGCTCCTTTCCAGAGTACTGAAACTTTCAATGTATAGATATTTTACTTCCTTTGTTATATTGATTTCTAAGTATTTCATTTTTTTATTGCAAAGAGTGAGGTTTCTTTAATTTTTCTCTTGGTAATTGTGTTTTTATACAGGAATGTTGACTTTTGAGTGTGGACTTTGTATCCAGCTATGGTACTGAATTTGTTTATTATATCTCAGAGTCTTTTGGTAGAGTTTTGGGAGTCTTCCATGTAAAGTATCATGTCATCTCTGAATAATCATAATTTGACTTCCTCCTTTCCTATCTTTATTCCATTTCTTTCTCTTGTCTACTTATTCTGGCTAATGTTTCTAGAACTATTTGAAGAGTGGTGATAGTGTATATCCTTGTCTCATTCCTGATTTTAGGGTGAAAGCTTTCAGTTTTTCTCCATTTATTATGGTGGTGGCTGTTGGATTGTCATAGATGGCTTGTATCAGGTTGAGGTAAAGACCATCTATTTTAATTTTCTGTGGGATTTTTACCATGAATGAATGTTGGACTTTATCAGTAGCTTTTTCTGTGTCTATTGAGATATCATTAGCTCGGTTGAAAAGGTGTTTATTGATTTGCATATGTTGAACCATCCCTGCATTCCTGGGAGCAATCTCACTTGGTCATGGTGTATAATCTTCTTGATGATTTTCTGCATTCTGTTTGCTAATATCTTATTGAATATTTTTGCATCTATGTTCATTAGGAGATTGGCCTGTCATTCTCTTCTTAGATTGAATCATTCTCTAATGTTGGTATCAATGTAATACTTGCCTCCAGGAATCACTTAGGTAGAATTGCTTCCCTTTCAATTTCATTAAAAGGTTTGAGGAATATTGGCATTAAATGTTCTCTAAATATGTAATAGAACTTTGCGGTAAATAAATCAGGACCTGGGCTTTTCTTTGTTGATAAGTTTTTAATTACATTTTAAGTCTCATTAACTGATATTGGGTTATTCAGCATTTTTATATCTTCTTGATTCAGCTTTGGTAATTCATATGTATCTAGGAATCTGTCCATTTCTTCTGTGTTTTCCATCCTATGAGTTTTTAAAGTAGATATTGATGATCTTCTGAATGTCCACAGCATCTGTAGTGATTTTACACTCTCCATTTCTCAATGCATAAATTTGAGTTTTTCCTTTCCTTTTTTTAAAGATAAAGTTGATTAATAAAGTTTTCAGACCAAAAATTAGACAGACTGATGGGTTAAAAAGATAGCCAATATTTTGGCTCTAGCCCTTCAAGGTCAGTAAGGACTCAGGACATAAGAGAACCTCTGCTATGATATATTGGTACTAAGTGGTGTCCCAAATTTTCTGATCAAGGAAATTATGGGGCCACAGAGGAAAGTGATCAACGATGCACAGTGTACCTAAGGAGAGTAACCTAGAGAGAAAACATTCTCTCAGGCTTTCTCAGGGAGCAAATTGGTTAAGCAATGGCTGTGACTCATCCAGATGGCTGACCCAAGATGCTGTACATGGTTCCAGGGTAAATCCTGAGGAGATTTGACTGATCTTATCAGATTGCAAAAATTACATTTTTTGTTATATAGGTCTTGCTTTAACTTGGTTTTAACCATCCAGCAGAAAAGTGTAAACATGAGGTATAAAAAGTAAAGCTATATTAATATGCTGAGCTGTAAAAGGCTCAATTCAACAACTTTGGACAATTGCCAGTTGTGTTGGTAACTCACTACTATTACGGACTATTGGGACTATATTGGATTATTTTGCTAAATTCAAGTAGCTACAGTATTTGGACTGGCATCAAGTATGGAAAGAGCCTTGAAAGACTTCTCCAAAAACAGCTTCTCTAGCAGAAATGGAACACCTATCTCTGATAGAACAAAACAAAAAGAGGGATATAAATAAAGGACCATTTTGTAGTGAAAAATATATATATGTATATACAAGATGAGATAGATATACAGCTACTTTTTCTTAGTTCAATGAGAAGAAAGGTTTGTACTAATAGTATTTAGATAATATTTCATGTCTACATCTTGTCCTCTGAATAACTACTATGAAGACAACAATATGCAATGTATTAATTATTGTAACTGTCCTACTAACTTGTTTTTGAAGCTGTTTCATTGCTATTTTATCTTTTTTTCTCATTAAAGTGAATTAAAAAATAAAGTTGATTAAGGGTTCATCAATTTTTTTATTCTTTCAAAGAACCAGCTTTTTGTTTCATTAATTCTTTACATTATTTTCTTATTCTCTATTGTATTAATTTTTGCTCTGATCTTTATAATTTCCTCTCTTGTATGGGCACTCGGCTTGACTTGCTCTTCTTTTTCTAGACGTTTCAGGTGTATTAAGTGGTTTATTTGTGCTCATTCTCTTTTCCTGATGCTAGAATTTACCAGGATAAATTTTCCTCTTATGATTACTTTCACTGTGTCCTACAGGTTCTGATAAGTTGTAGTTGCATTTTCATTTGATTATAGATATTTTTAAAATTTCTTCTTTAATTTCATTTGTGATCCACTGGTTGTGAAGGGAGGTGTTAATTTCCATGTATTTATGGAGCTTTTGCAGCTTCTTTTGTCATTACTTTATCTTTATGTATTTGGTTGTTGCAGGATCTCACTATGCAGCTTGGACTCATGGTGATCCTCCTGCTTTCAGCCTCCCCATTGCTGGGATTACAGGTGTGCACCACTCTGTCCAGATTCTGGCCAACTCAGCCCAACTTGGGGGCAGGGCTGGTGTGGCATGTGATGAAGATGGGTATTGAACCACAGTCCCTGTGTGCTTGCCTAAACTTGCCTAAGCAGGTACTTTAGTCTGCTGAGCTATCTTGCTGGCCCTTTTGTCATTACTTTTCAATTTCATTACATAATGATCAGAT